AGGCCTGAGGAACTAATACGTCAGCCTCCTAGAAAGCTTAGATGTGAAGGCTGCTTGTGATTCTCAGCCTCTTGTCCCAGAGCAGATCTTCTTCGTTATCCTCTTCCCTTTGCAAGCATATTTCCCCTTCCTCAGCCCTGGCTGTCTTGCTGGACTGGCCTGACATCTTGTTAACTACACCAGGGCTAACCTTTCCTTCACCCTGTCCCCTGCTATGACTGATATGTCCTGCAGCTTTTTCTCTTGCTATTTTGTTCCCCTTTCTCAGCTTTCCCTTACTCTCACTCCAAATACATCCTTCCTCTTTCTGACATGAGCTAAGGAACCACACCCCATACATAGCTAAGAAATGTCCCCGTTGATCTTTGCAGCTGTCCATCTTTTTTCCCACCCATGTAGGACCCTGCCTTCTCTTAAAGTGGGCAGAGCTGGCATGAGGCTTTCTTTAGGCTGCCTCTTAAGGTGTGGCCACCTTGCAAAACAAGGGTGTTGCATACCAGGTTAAAATACCAGGGAAGACAAGGTGAAGTGGGTATGAACTCAGGTTAACAGCTCAAGTCCGAGCTGTGAGGTACCTGCCTGGAGGGTCTTGCCCTTCCACTGAGAATAAAACTGATCATCACCAGATCTGGGACCAAAAGGGCCCTAAGGTCAGATGGGCAAGGACTGGGGTTGGTTTTGCCTTCCTCTGGCACAAAATAGAGTCCTCATCCTAGGATCCCTTGAGCACATGTTAACCTAAAATACCGGTGCCTTTACATTGCCACTGTCTCCCCTTCTTTTCACCACTGTGGTTCTAGTGCAGGAGGGGCAGGAGTAGATGAATTTTAGGATTCTTTGGATACAGGGTTGCCTGCCAATGCAGGGGACTGGATGTGATACCCCAGGAGGCCCCTTCCAGTCCTATGTTTCTCTGCTCCCTATGTTCCCCTATGGGAGTTTGGTGTTGGATGTGAGCTGCTCACTCAGGTTAGAAGCATACTGCCCTGCCTTCACTGCGAACATGCTGCTTTGTACAGACAGACCTAGAGTGCAGTCTGCAAGGCTGTTTGTACTAAGGGCCTGACTCTTCCTCTGATTACTAAACAGGCTCAGGCCTCCAGCAAAAGCTTATTGCATGCTTTAGAACAGGTCAAAGGGCTGTTCTCTCCATAAAGTTGGGCCACCCTCCCCTCCCTCTGCTGTGCTGCTTGGAGAATGGGTGTGATTACTTCCCTACAAGGAAGTTACACACTCTTATGCAGCCCTAGTTCCACTTCTGCTGCAATCCCCAGGGTTGCATCCACCTCCTCTCCCACTGAATTTGGCCTGGTTTCCTCATATAGATGCTGGGGCAGGGAAAGAGGGGATGCCACATAAGGCCAGGTCTGCCCAGCACTGCCTAAGTATCCAAGGCCTCACACAAACCTCCTTGGGAACTGTGCCCTGCTGATAGCTGATTTCCCAGGAGGGGACACAGTTGCTATGATCCCAGCCAGTGAGCTCTGGTGTTCATGGACACTGAACTCCCATTCTCTACGTGGGTGTGAGTTTCTGTGTCCTCATGGCTCCTCTCCCTCCCGCTCCCTCTCTGGGCTCTTCCTTCTCCAGGATACGAAGCTGTTCAGGGAGGATGGAGGCTGGAATCTGGTGGGTGCAGTGTCCCAGTACTGGTGCAGCAGAATGGTGTGGAGCGAGGAGGAGCAGTGCTACCACATCAAAGGTACTTCCCTGCTGACAGCTAGTTTCCAGAAGAGGACGCCAAAGGTGAAAGCTTGCTGCTCATCTGACTGGATCTGCTTCAGTTCAGTGCATGAGAGCACTGTCTCTTTGAATGGGAATACATGGGCACTCAAGCCCCTGCCATCCTGTCCATCTTACAATGGAGGGTAACACCCACCCCCCGCACATACACAGGGTACTTTAACAGGTTTTAATTGGAACTGGCCTCCCTCTGTCCTCAACGAGTAGCTGGAGCAGGTCCACTGCTACCATCACCAAATCTGCACTCTGTATACTGCATGTCAGACAGGAGGGCTGTAACGTGGGGAGTTCCTCATCTATGCCTGGAGGGAGAGTACCTTAACCAGCAGTGTCATAGGAGCCTGGCCAGGGAAATAAATATTGCCCCCATTCTACTAAAGACAAACTATTTAGGGAAATAGAGAATGTGGCCGTTATCAGGAGTGGAAACCTGTACTGGGACAGAGTTGCTGTCCTAGTACTGTGGCCCTTTTTTTCCAGAGACCCGGGTGCCAGTACTGCAATAGGTGCCACGTGATGATAAGTGTGGGCTCACTTAGTCCCTGAAGGAGGTATTTGTTATTGTCCTCAAACCAGCACCTATGTTGGCATGAGGTATACATGTGGCAGAGTGGCACATTTTCCCTAGTGTGGTGAGAGATATGGGGGAGTTACACCTGCCATGGCTGGGCAAGGGGCAGTGGGCCACAAAGAAAAAGGTACATGCCTTCACTCTGGGTTTGGAGCTGGACCATTTCTCTGCACCCATGGGATAAAAAAGCAAGAAAGCAGGAGGGATAGCAGATCAGGAGAGACAGCTTTGGTAGAGCTGTGAGAAGTAGCTATTAGGCTAGAGTCTACTAATTTACCCTGCAGCAGGATAGTACTTGTAAATACAAATATTATCCTGCTGCAGAGTAAAAAACTCTGCAGCAGCACACATGTAGATGCTGATGGGGCTGGCTAAAGCATAAGAGGGCTTCAGTGTGAGGGCTGCCTGCCAGCTAGCCCCACACTGAAGCACCCTCATGCCCAGCCAGCCCCTCTGCTACATTTTGAGCTGGAGGGAGCAGGCCCAGGCTGGCTGGCAGGTTGACCCTGCCAACCAGGATGTGGCACCCAGGAGCAATAAGCTCCAGAATTTATTGTAGTATTTTCAGGGAAAGATCTTTTTTCTTTTTCCTGCCTTTCAAAAACGAGGTGAGTTATTCAGGGTGGCATGTTGTATTTAGAAAATATGGTAATATTTAAATATCGGGGATCCTTCCTCAGCTGAGAAGTAGAGGTCTCTCATGCAGGAATGTTCTTCTCCCCTTCCACCCCTAACCAAGGCAGCAGTCAAACTTGGTGTGAAGGAAAGATACATGAATACTGCTCTGGAGTAGGGAACTGCACTTACTGATTTATATAGTGAGTATTGTGCATGTATACTTCATCCATTGCACCCTGCCTGTGATCCTCACCCCTGACGTAAAGGAAACTCCCCCTAGAGAGTCTCATAAGAAAGTAGCTCAGTCTCCCTGCCCTGGTAGCCTGTGACCTCTTTAAAAAGAAGGCAGGTAGATTTGCAGCTGTAAAGACTAACTAAATAAGATATAGCAAGCATAAGATTTCATGAACCAAAGCTTGCTTCTTCAGGCAGAAAGAGGTAGTTAGCCATGCTGGTCTTTAATAAGGCCACCAATAAGGGTGAGAACTTTCCCTCACCTGCCGGGCATCTGGACCAGGGACATTGTTAGGACTGGTCAGAGGTGTAAACAGAGAACTGGGCTGGGATCACAACTTGCTTCCGCTAGGCACCCAGAGAGAATACAAAGCAAAGCAATGACCTCTCGAAAAGAAAAGTTTCACAGCTCGTGCCTCTCCCAGAAGCAAGGGGTTTAACACAGAACTGGTCCAAGCTGTGCCATGGTGTGAAGTGTCTCCTCGCTCTTCCTCCAGGTGTCATGCCCCCAGACGAATATCACTACCAGGTCGATAACTCCGTTTACACCAACGCCGTGGCCCAGAGGAGGTAACATGCATGATTTACAGCAACACGGTACACTCCTTCCAGGCTCTTCCTTGCTGCTCAGTGATCTGGCAAGTTTCAGAAGAAAGCCAGGCTTCAGGGGGCCTCTGCTGTTCTCTTGTGCCCATGCTTAGAATCACACTCTTTCAATTTTTCTGTTTCCTTTGCAGGGAGTCTGGCTTAACTAGCTCCTTTCCTTTTATTACACTAGTTTGCCCTGTAAAGGGTTGCATTCACCAGGTCAAATACAAACTACCTTTCTTCACTTCCCTCCAGCTTAAACTTTGCTGCTGACCTGGCCCATGACTTTCAGATACCGGTCCCTGAGGAATGGCTTGAGTTTGCCAAAAAAGTCAAGGTGCCATTTGATACTGAAAAGAAGTACCACCCTGAGTATGATGGGTACCGCACAGGTGAGTTGAGGGGTGTAGGGAGAGGGTACTGCAGTTGAGCTTTGATTTAGCCACTGAGGATAACAGATCAATGACCCAATGATACTCACCCACCTGGGGTTAAGGGCAAGCGATTGCATTGTGGACCTCATACTGTTCTGGAGATGTCTGTACCGACACTGGTTGAATGCTGGTAGCAGTGGCAGGTCATTGAAATTCGGTTCTTGTTACAATGGCATTCATTCCTCAGCTGGTGTCTGGCACTGTCTGGGCTATTCCACATCATGGGGCTCTTATAAAAAAAGTTGACTTAAGATAGGAATGGGCACACAATGCTGGGGGAATGTGCCTTTTCTTTAGCTGAGGATGATGTCTTTGTTAACTGAATATGTCTGTACACACATTGGGCCAGTTTCTTCCACCTACTGAGCCTTTACGTGGACTTAGGTGCCTAAGTGTCATTCTGTTTCACCTGATTTTACTTTGGCAACACGTTATTATCTGACTCTTAAGACTGAGTCACAAAAAACTAGCAACAAGAAGGACCCACTCACCATTTGCATTAAGGAGTGTTTATTAGGGAGCCAAGCAGGGTCTAACAGAATTACACATAGGTACCTGAGTCCACTCACATGCTTAATAGGTAGAACAGAATCTGGCTTATCCAGACTGAGTTTCCAAGGCCGAGCACTACAGTTAGCCAGTCTTGAAGGACCTGGTTCCAGTCACTGCACAGTGAAGTTGACTGGCTCATGAAAGTGCCTTCTTGTTCTTGATTAGGGGGTTTTGCATGGGCACATACACTTTTGTAGGCTGCTCCGTGCTGCCTTGTTTTCAGTAACTTCCCCAGCCTGCCCAACACGTGTGGTGACCATGCCTATTTGGTCATGTCCTGGCCCTGAACCAGCTTCCAGAGAACATAGCAGCTAAGACCACATTGCCCAAAGGCTCTGTCAGTGAACAGAAAGTTTCAGTGTGTCTCTGTCTAACTTTCCTCTGACCTGCAGTCACTTGCTTTGCCTAGACTACCATTCCAACTGCATTATATTTATTCACTTGAAATGGTCCCCATCTGCATTGTCTTCAAGGACTGTCTAGTTGAATTTGCTCAGTTTAATGATAATGCAGCTGGCCCTGGAAACTCTCCTGGGGATCTGAGAGTCTAGGGCAGGAAAGCCCATCACCAGTCATTCCTTAGGTATATATAGGCGGACCCTCTGTCTGTCCCATTCCCCAGGTGAGCATGTGAAGCAGGCGGATGTTATCCTGCTGGGATTCCCTATGATGTATCCCATGAGCCCCGAAGTCCGAAGGAATGACCTGGAGATGTATGAACCTGTCACTGAGCGGGATGGGCCAGCCATGACTTGGGTAAGCAGCCAAGAAGAGCTATTTCAGAGTGAAAGGGCTGAGCCTTCTGCATGGCTTGGCAAAGCACCCACCAGGCACCCTTCAAGAGTGCACTGGGGAGGCCATGGTGGGTTCCAAGCCTGGTCCTTTCTCCTGCAGAGCATGTTTGCGGTAGGCTGGATGGAGCTGAAGGAGGTCCAGAGGGCACAGAACCAACTGAGCAAATGCTTCAACAATATCACTGAGCCATTCAAGGTCAGTCCACTCATACTGGACCCTACCCTAACTGCATTACTGTGCACAGCATTGTCATCATTATTAGTGCATGTTGTACACTGCAAGACTGCCTCTCTGCATGTTTGTGGGTGGGCAGAAAGTGGGGGGGGGAGGGGGCATTTAACTCCCACCTGTCTCCATCCCTGCCCGCCAGGGAAAGCAGGAGCAAAGCCTCAGAATCACGTGCCTTGGCACCTCAGCTCTCTCTCCACCTACTCATATCTAGGAGAAGCAGCCAGGACAGGGGAGCACAATGCATTTGCTCAGAGGGCTAGGAGACTGCCTGACATCAGCTCTCACTTCCCTTTAAGTTACATCCACCCCTTACCACAGCACTTTCTCTCTTCATGCTAGGTGAGGGGCAGCAAGGCTGGGAGAATATAACTTCCCCCTTACTCGTCACCCACAGTGCCAGATCAGCAGGACCAAATGAGAAGAGGGCCATATTCCATTTACCCCCTCAGTTCTGGGACCAGGCACAACTCCCTGGGCTCCCTGAGAAGGAGCCAGACAAGCAACTGCATTACTACTGAATGGTTTTCCACCCTCATGTCATTTTTCAAAGAGCAGCTGGGTCCCCCATCCCTACCAGTGAGTCACTTCTTTCGTGTTCTTTGGGACAGATCTGGTCAGAGAACTCGGACGGGTCTGGAGCCGTGAATTTTCTGACAGGGATGGGTGGCTTCCTGCAAGCTGTCCTCTTCGGATACATGGGGTTCAGGTGAGAAACATGTGACTGTAGTTCAGCGATTGTTCCCAGTAGGCTGGAGATTGAGCACCCACCCCTCCAAGCCATGTCCTCTGAAAGCTCTCTATAAGTAACACACAAACAGTGAGATTTACAATCCCCCAGGAATCCAAGGCCCTGGCAGTGACCAGTGAATTGCAGAGGATTTGCATAAGTACTTTGTTGTCCTGTTACCTCACTGCATGGGCTTCAGTGGGAATAGAGTCAGGCCAGCAATGAGACCTTCTGTAAATCAATATCTTCAGTGAAGTTTGAAACCCCAGTATAGTCTCCTGATCCCTGAGAACACCATTGGAGCATCCTATGCCTTAGCAGCAAAAGTGCTTGCCTTAGTTAACCAGACCTAGCCAAGGCAGAGGAGAAGGCAGTAGCTCCAGCTCCTTCACTAACAAAGGGTGGATGAGGCTACTAAGACTTGAAGCCACCTGTTCTGCAGGTATTGTGATTAATTCAAGAGTAAAAAAAACAGACAAATGCTTCTGAAAAAATGGAGAACTAGAAAATTGCATTTCTTTGCATATAGGCTGCACAATATCTGCATTTAAAAAAATTACAAAGCAGGATGCTTGAGTGATATTTTAAGTCTCTGTGCTGATGTTTTATACTTGAAATAAATATATTTTCTCCCCACCCCCTTAGGATACCTGGGCTCTCTCCCTGCTCTGAGTGGGGGTGGGCCAGGGAGAGAGCTGAGAGCAGTGTATCCTGGGATGCTGAAGGACTGCAAAATGTTCATTTTATCTCCATGGAGCATATTGAAGTTAGCCTAACATGAGCTGGGTAGCATAGCCCAGAGTTGATGTTTACCTGAAATGACGTAACTTTGAAACACTCACTTAGCATGAGTTAACAAGCTTTAATGTGTGGACACTGGTGTTTTAAGCACCCTTAATATAGTCTAAGTGTAATGTGTAACCTCACCCACTCTTTATTTCATGTTGATACAAACTATTGCTTCCTTACTGTCCCCTAGTGACCACCCTGGGCACTATAAATACTCAAAATTAACACCACACTTAGAATAATAATAGTAGTAGCAGTAGTAGCAGCAGCAAACTTTACCATTATAAAAAGAGATAAAATGAAGATCAGAGGAACAAAGTGACTTCCCCTAAGTGGCATGGTGAGTTACTTGCAGATCTGGGAAAAGGACCCAGATGTCTTGCTTCTTTCAGTCCCATGCCTCAGCCTTCCTGTCTTCAGATACTACATGAGTGTTCCTCTGCTGGCAGAAGAAAGGGTGTAAAAATAAGCTATAGCAAAGTGCCATTTTATAAAGCTCCTTTCTGCCTCCCTTTTCCTCTCCTTGCTGGTTAGGAACATGGTTTTAGGCAGACAGGGGCTCTCTCCTTTCTGTCTAGTTCAGCAGTCTTCAACCACCGGTGATGCGTAGGGGGTGCACATGGGTGCACCCCCTGAGAGAAGCACTGCCAATGCTGCTGGCAATGCCTGTGGGTGGTCAACACTTGCCACCCCCCACCCTGACACCACCAACAGCATCTGCGGACAGTTGCCTATTGCCACTGGTCACTGTCGATGCTGCCAGTGGTGTCTGCAGGTGGTCACCGACCGCCAGTTGCCACTCACCCCCCCTCCCCCCCCCCACTGCCAACTCTGCTGTGGCCACCTGCGGAAGCAAACTGCCGCTATGCCCCCCCAGCCTCCGGGTGCAAGTGTTGCTCATATCTCCAACCTTTTTAAGCAGGAGATCACCTTTGGCATTTCAAAGCAACCCAAAGTCTACCATGCGCTCCTGCCTTTCCCCTCCCTCCCCACCCAGCAGGTAAGTCTGTGGGGAGGGAGGGCAGGGGCAGATCGAGGCAGAGGGAGAAAAAAATATTCGGGGTTGCACCTCCCCAGCAGGTAAGTCCCACCTGGCCAGGGCTCCACTCAACTTACCCCTGCTCCTGCCTCTGTGGCACTGTCCCTCACTGCAGGAGCCTCAATCAAGCCCCCGCCCCTTCCCTCCCCCACGGACTGACCTGCTGGGTTGGAGCATGTGCGTGCATGCATGCGGGCACTCAGGCCCCTGCCCCAGCCTCGGATCAACTCCTAGAGGCTCCAAGATCTACCAGTGATTGAGATCCACTGGTTGGTGACCACTGGTCTAGCTGCTTCACCTAAAACTTTGTTTCACCCACTGATACCACAGGTGAGTCTTCACCACCAGGAGGCTGACTATGGCATCCCTGAGGAGGGTGCGGGGGAGCTTCCAGCTTACACACAGACATCCTGGCAAACAACATTCAAGGAGAGACATGGCAGGAAAGAAATACACCTCTGCAGAGGGGCTCTGACAATCTGTTTAAGATTTACCAGCGCATGGTAATAATAGCCAAGCCCTTTTAGGAAAGCAGTTATTTCTGGTTTATCTCCAATGAAAACTGGCTGCAGCCACAACATTTATATCTAGCCCTGGAGTGGAGCAAAGCCAACTGAATCAATATGGGGTTGGAATGAAATAAAGGCTTAGATACCACCATACTAAGTAAGGGCAGGAGCCTCCAGGGTTAAGAATAACACCTTCCCTGAAGCTCCAGAAAAACTGTAAACAGTGAAAGGGGCCCGAAATACGCCACAGGGAGGGAACTCAACAGTAAGAGGCACACGCAAGGAGGGGAAATCTCTTGCTGAGCGTGCCTAACAACAGTAGGGTGAGACAAAAATGGAGCCAATTCAACAAGCAGGAAGCAGTGGCTGGCTAAGTTACCTAGCTCACCTCGGAGGCCATTACCAAGTATTCTGGTCTTGTGGGTACCAATGCAGGACCCAGATTAGCTGTCAGGGAATCACCCCCAGAACCCAGGAAGTGATATAAGCACTGCTACAGCACATCTGAGGGGAACATGAGTGGGATACTGTGATTCAGAGAAATACTTGAGAAAATTGACCTAAAGTCTACCCAGATTAGAAACTAACGGTCCTAAAAAGGCACCCAGAGAACATGTTAACCTAATAGATCTGAGAGAATCTCAAAGCCAAAGCACAACCCAGTATCCAAAACAGACATCCAGTGAGGCCTATTCTTGAAGAGTTTGGTTGAGCTTTGCATTTTGCTATACACCAAAAGAATACTGTCGTATTGTAATGACATCAACTAGGTGCACTTATCTCAGGAGTGTGTGGTTGGGATCTGAGTTAAGAACAGCTACCGTTGCTGGTAGGTATGGATGTGAGCTGCCGCTTTCCCGTCTGAAATCCAACCTCGATTTGTCCAACGTTCAAAACTATTTAGGTGCCGTGTTGCTTGTTTTAGCGGTGGACTCAAGCCATCATGGACTCAAGCCATAAAATCTGGATCACAGTTCAAAGTTTTACAAACTCAGATCTGATGTTCCAGTTTTGCTTACATCTAGTTCTGATGTTTGGCTAGAGCAGGTATCCAACAGTTTTGGATGTGCACTTGTACTTATGCAGCCCACTCTGTGGCCTAAAAATTGAAGTGGGATATTCCTGTGACCAGTCACTCTCATATTCCAAGCTTTCCTTGTGGAAATAAGCCTTTTGACATTAGCCTTTTTACCTCATAGCTTTAACAATTTCCAATTCTGGTCACACACAAAACCCGGAAGCTGAGTGAGGCACAAAAATAATGAAAGGGTTCATAAAAATAATGTAAAAGTTGTCACCAGTGTCCTAAGCCAGAGTTAAATCATTGACCTAAAGGTAAAGATTCCCTGATTATATCAGTGCTCTCTAGAACCAGCCTCTGTTCTATGGGTTAGAGCCATTTTCAAGTGCTATCAGGACCTTCACAATGCTAGAGCAATGGATTTCAACCTTTTTCAATTGTGGACCCCTAAAAAAATTTCAAAATTTCACTTTGGAAATTTCAAATGTAGGTGTGGACTCCTTTGAATTGTAAGTGTGGATATTCACATCATTTTAATTGATCATAGTCATCTTTTGCCAACTGCTTAGATATAGTCTGCAAGTCCCCGAGGGTCTGCAGACCACAGGTTGAAAACCACTGGGCTGGGGAATCCATCACCACCCATAGAGAACACCGGAGAAATACTGTCTAAGAAAAAAGCCAGTTGGCAAAAGTAGGCTCACTAGAAATGATTAAAATATGCAAAAAGCAAAAAAGATCAGGTTTCTGCTGTAAGAGTTGTGTGAGGTCCATACCAGTGCACTCTGTGTGGAGGTTATTATTTGCAGAAAGTTATTTGTTTGCCTTCTGGAAACTGCAGCACATTTTGGATGCCCAGAGGGCCTCTCCCTATTTGAGGAGGTTTGCTCTAGGAGAAGCCTGGCTGGAGATTACAGAATACATATAGGGCATACAAGTTGGCATGTGGCCTATACCACAAAGGATCTGTCTTTGCTTGAAGCTCAGGTAGGGAAAGGGGAAGAAATGTAGAGATTATTAACACTGCTTGTAGAACAATAGCCCATGTCTCTTCTGGCAGGGATGGCATCAACTCACATGGCCACTGACTTGCCTCTGCCTTTCATAGGATCACAAAGAACAGCCTGAACTTTGACCCTGTCTGCCCAGAAGACATCAACAGAATAAAGGTCACAGGAGTCTCTTACCTTGGAAACAAGCTGAATTTCACCATCACCAAAGAGAGAATTAGGATAAAGGTGACAAAGTCCTCAGGTGACCCTCGCTCATCTCTCCTGGAGGCTGTGCTGGTAGAATCAGGGCAGCACATCCCCTTGCATGAAGGTATGGTGTCTCCCAACTGTGATACTCTGGTATGGTATAGACTCTGGAGCATGTTCTGCTATGAAAGCATGTCCTGCATCCTTTCTAGTGGTGACTCCCACTGAGGAAAGCCATGAGTGTCCCCTTAAGAATCTAGCACCCACCCAGCATCCTTTGGGCATATCCACACCACCTCAGGCAGCCCTAGGAAGCAGCACCTTGAAAACATGCCCTGTCTTCTTGCATTCTATGCCTCCAAAAATGTCTTGGTATATATGCCCTTAGACTGCGGCCTACAACTTCCCCTACTAGAGACTGGAACTGGAGTAGCTGGGATATCCTCACAACCAGTTCTCTTCTACTATTCCCCACTGGCTGTCCAACAGGGGCAGGCTGGATATATTATCAGAATTTCCTGCTGTGAGGTTGGCTTAGGACACCCTGACCCCAGAGAGTAACTTAATATAGGAGCCTGGAAAGAGGCTCATTGCAGTGAGATGCATTTGTTTTCCCTTTCAGGACAAATTGTCGTCTTCCCTACAACTGCTGGCTGGATTCAGAGAGCATCAGCTGAGCCATTTTAAGCCCCAGATGTTTTGTTTTCCAAGCCAAGCATTAAAACCAGCAGAATGGCAGAAAGCAGGAGCCCTCAGGGGAGCATGGGCTGGGGCCCCACACTGTGTGGCAGTGACTGAGGTTTGGCTGCCCATGGCAGTGTGGATGAGTGACCCACTCCAGTGGGGTTGTGCCTGCTTGCTTCCCTTCTCTTGTGACCAGTGAGTGTGTGCTAGGCAGGCAAGATATGGTGGGAGTGCACTGTTCCCTTCTGCTCTTTGCAAATATTACTGCTGGAAAATGATCCGGGAGTTGTTGTTTCTTCTTCCTTTATTGATGGCTGACTGGGGTTCACCTCACTGATTCCCTGTAGTCCCTTAAGAACCACTAGCTTACCCCTTCTCTGCTTGACTTGGCTTCCACAACCTTCCTTTCAGCACCAATTAATAGTGCTTCCCTGAATTTGTGCCTAGGCCACTGGGAGTGGGACTTTGCCTCCTGTACCTGGGATTGGCATGAGGCATTCACATGATGCCATGCTTCATTGCTGAAGTTGAGAGTTTAGAGGGTAGTTAGGCACCTGGCTTACACAGGCTGCAAGCAGATGTTGAATTTATCCTGGGAGAAAGTGGCTTCTCCCAGGATAATGTGTGATTATTCAGATGCCTATGTCTGATGTCCAAGGACAAACCCTAATAAGGTTCATGGGACAAGAACTGCTAACAGTTTGTCCTAGGATATCAAAAAGCGTATCCGAACAGTTGTCCTGAGATTGCATCACTGAATCAGTGGCAGAAAAGTGGCAGTGCATTCAGCCGTTCATTAAGCCCAGCTTGGAAAGGCAACATCTGTACATGCCAATTGTGTGCCTTTTCTGTTCCAGGACAAACACAGACACAACTAGCCCTGGAACATCTGTTCCTATCCACTGGGACTTTCAACAATCTCCTGCTGAAGTCTAGTTTCTATTCCCTTTCCCAAAATTCACTAGAAACCAGAAAGGGAATATGGACTTAAATGGGAAGGTTAGTGCTAGAGTGACAGCAGACCATTTATACTAGTGGTTCTCAATCTTTGTACCCTCAAAGCACCCCTCCATTACTTTTCTGAATTTAGTGGCACCCTGGTTGAGAATCACTGAGCCAGAATCCAGCTGGTGCCAGGTAAGGGTAGTGTGGACAGGACTTCATCCCACCAGGCCCTGCTCTTTCCACCATCTGCCTTTTCCCAATCCCCAGTGTCTACATGAAGGGGTAGACATGTCCTTTGCCAGTGAGGTTGCTATTCTGGAGTCTCACATGCCAGCAACTGGGGCCACCTGCTCCCACGCCCCAGCCTGCACTCGCAGGGGGAGCACCGGCGCTCCTGCCTGCCCCCCTTGCCTGTCGCCTAAGAGCTGGGTGGCTGCTGCCACACGTCTGCCAGCCTCCCCAGAGGAGACAAGCCCAGAGTTTCCCATTTCTGCATTACATTTGTTGCACACAGGAAGCGATCAGAGTGTTAGAGCTGCTGCTCAATGCCTGAGAAGGCCCTTGCTCATGGAAAGGTGGTGCTGTGGTAAGGGGAGGAGAAATCATCTACACTGGAAAGAGAAGAGAGCCTGGAAGGCTTGTGGCAGGGGAGGGATGCATTGTCCAGCCTCCTTTCACCCCTAGCCAGGTCTTTATCTGACTCTGTCAGAGCCCTAAAGATAAGTATCCTTCCAGTGGCCCTGCTGTCCATACTGCTGCACTTCCAAGCACCTCAGAGAACTAGGGGCATCCGTCTGTGTGCAGTACACCAAAGCCTTCTTCTTCAGAGCTTGTCCCTATAACATTATATCAGCCCCTTCTCCCTCACAGTTAGCCTATATACAACAGAACAGCCCCTTCTTCCTGGGTCAGTACGCACACACTGCAGTCACCCTTTCTCCCACAAAGTCAGTTTATATACAGCGTAGAAGCCCCTTCTCCCTCAGAGCCATCCTACCGTTTGGCAGCCCCTTCTCCATTTACATACCTAGTAGCTGGACTATAACCTGGGCCTTAACACATTAATAAGTGATTGATAGATACGCATACAATAGCTATAAGGACAGTATGCCATATCCATTTACAAGGGCATCAATAGAAAGTTCAAGCAGGGTTGTAGGCAAACTATAGATATGTTGGACTCCAAGACTCTAGTAGACTATCTATCACCCAGATATTAATGCTTTAAAAGCCATTTACAGGATATCCTTAACATAGAAGTACCCAGGTCTCCCTAGCAAATCCGTATTTAGTCCATAGTAAGAGAGACAATCCCTGAATTTCTAATGAGTGGGGCAGATAGCATATTAATACACACCAGGATTCAAGCATCTATATTATTTTTTAATATCACAAAGGTGTCTCCAAGCTGCTTGCTCTCCAGAGTCTTGTTATTGCCACAAGATTCTTTTCTTTTGGCTTCTATTTTATATTGCAAATCCCGTTTGTTACTTAATATTCCCAAATCCTTCCATCTGAACAACTGAGCCCCACAAGATGGAGGCATAACCACTGAGTGGCATAAGTCAGTGTTTGTGGAACTATCAATTCAGTGCATGCACATGCTGGTTAGCTGCACACCCAAATCAGACCTTATGAGCAGAGTCATTCATATGGGCACAAATGTGTTGGCTTGTGTATGCACTAGTAAGAGGCAACCTATGTAATAGGCACAAGACTTTTAGACATTTTGCCCCGAGGGTGTTGGTGGCAGGTCCAGAAGCTACCCAGGCCCAGAAACTTCATAAGCTTCAAATCTTACGTGAGAACAATATACAGGCAAAATAAAGTCTGAAATGAAGTCTAACAGCTATTTGCTTAGTGCCAAAAGGCACTAAAGCTGGAGCTGCTTTTGAAAATACCAGATATCATTAATTTTTGCAATGAAGGAATTAAGGAATGAAGCCTCTCTCTTTTCATAACACAGAGATATCACCTGCAAGATTCCCAATTCCACTGCCACACCTGCAGCTCGTAACATAGAAGTGGCCCAAAGGGACCATTCACTGCGACTGAATTTCTGCACAATGTGCTGCAGAGGTTCCATCTTTGAACAAAGTCCTAGGCTCTCCACTTAATTTCAGAACAGGAGATTGGTGGGTTCTGAAATTTCCTCCTTTGGCATCTAAAGAAAAACATATACTGTTATTTCTCATTCATAAAAATCCATTAAATGCTCTCAGAGCATCAAAGGAAGAACAGTGGGAATGGATCTAAAACACATCACTTGAAAACAATCAACCCCCTCAAAGGGACAAGGCCCTGGGGTGCAGTGAAGAGTAAGAACAACCAAAAGGTGATCATGTTTAGTTTGCAGGAATGAAGATTAATGGTGTAACATGATAGTAGTTTTCAAATACTGGAAAGGCTGCCCTGGAAAGATGGTGGAGTGTTGGTCCCCCTCACCACAAAGAGTGGAACAAAAGGTAGTAGGTTTAAAGGGCAGCAAAGCAGTTTGGGCCAAAACTTAGGGGAGAAAAACTTAACTGTGTAAGGAACATGCTGCCCAGAGAAGTTCTGGAGTTTCCTTTATCTGGAGAGCTTCAAGAGGAGGCTGGACTGGTATATGGATGGTTTAAGAATAACGAATCCTGCATCTGGACAGGGCTTGGACTAGATGACCCTAGCGGTTCCTCCCAACTCCAGGAGACTACAGAGTAACTGGTGATGGTGACAGCCAGGCTCCTTTCTGTAGACACACCAAGCAGCTGAGAACAATATAATGTGCTAAGAAGGGAAGCATGTGCAACCTGGAGCTTGGAGAAGACTCCCGGGATGCCAGCAGAGCCTGGTACTGCCTGGATCTCTTCATAGTACACCTGACCCTAAAGTAGGAGTGTCAAATTCAATAGGCCCCACTGGATGGATGAGGGGTACAGGGACAATCTGCAGGCCAGATCAGGCCTACAGACCATCCCTGTGTGCTGGAGCCAGCATCCAGGTCTGGTCTGGCACAAACACCTCTTGCAAGGTACACCCCATGCCAGCTCTGCAAAACCAGCAGGGAGTATGCATGACATGAGGTGCCTGCATGGACTGGCCTGGCATGATAGCACTGGTGTGTGGGGATGGGCTGTAGCCCTGATTTGGATTGGCCCCAGAGCCAGCACACAAGGCCAGTCCACCATGGGCATTATATGTAGCACACACCTTGAACTGGCCCCCTCTGCCACATGCAGCACCCATGGTGCCAAGTCCAGCCTCACTTACCAGACTAGCTCCATGTGCTGCAAGAAGCAGGCAAAGTCAGTCTGAGACCCACGGTCCAGATCCTAGGTCTCCACAGGCCAAAACCAGCCCACAGGCCATATCTTTGACACCCCTGCCCTTAAGCAATCTGCAGTCAACAGTCTTATTAATAGAAAGAGGCAGTTAGCCCTGTTAGTTGGAAGTCAGGAGGAAGACAGAGCACAGTAGCACCTTAGAGACTGACTGGTTCAGAGACAAGAGCTTTCATAGGCAAAGGCTGCCGCCTAGAGAAGCTCATGCCTCTCTGAATCAGTTAGTCTCTAAGGTATTATCCTGCCCTGTCTTCTGCTCAGCAGGTTCAGTTATTCCTTCCCCTACTTCTTTACTGTAGCATCTGTTGCATTCTTCCTCCCTCCCTGACATCCCCCACATGCTAGCATGTGTCAGACAAGATGATTTTAAAACCATTCCATGCTGTGTAAACAAAATTCAGAAACCACAAACTAACCCCAAGTTTATAAAAAAACCCTGGGCCTTTTCAGGCTGCAGACACCATGTGGGAACACTTAAGGAGGGAAAAAATAAAGGCCTCTGCCTTGTAATTAGGCTGGTTGCATGTCAGGCTCTGTTGAGCACAGCTCAGCCACTAATCACCACTGGGTCTCAGCAGCAGGGCGGGGTGGGAGAAGGCAGCCTCCCAGATAACAGCTGGGAGGGTCTCTGTTTTCAATCCATGTTTAGACGGTGGAGAAATTAGCTGAGACAGGAATGAAAATAGCCTGCTTTTCCTGAAGCAGGGAGTCACAGGTTCACAGCCCTCTGCCCCATGGCACGTGCAGTTGATGGATTCAGGATGGAGCTTTTGCTTCATCAATGGATGGAACCCCTTTGGCAGTGTACATAGGGGTATTGAGAGTCCTTCCCCGCTAGAGCAAAGGGCAATTTCCTAGCAAGAAAGTCCCAGCACCCCTTCTTCTTAGTAGTGCTAGTGCTGTACTGCCAGGGGTCCCATTTGGAGTCCCAGTAAGTCCTGATTCTGCCACTCTCATGACATGTCTTCACTGTCAGCCAATACAGGTGATCAACACCTGGAGCTGAGCAAAGC